GGGAGTCGGCGAGGATGAATTGGTAGTCCATGGCGTAAGGGTTGTTGGAGGATATGAAGTGGAAGGAGAGCAATGGGACCGCAAAAACTGCGACGAAGCGGTTTATGCCGGAGCATTGGTCGGGCGTGAAGATTTTCCACCACCGGACGGAACCGTAGGCTAAGATCATCGCCACGTATAAGGGGACTATTGCTGCTAGAACATCGTATATGTCCTTGCCAGTAATCATGGTTGTGTTTTTTCAAAAATGAAGATACGGGTTTTGTTGTTTTGGGCTGTTTAATTTCATGAGGATTAGAGTGGGAGAGATGGAGAGGAAGAGTAAGATGGTTGTTTGGTGCCTCTCTTATAGAAAAAGGTTTTGCTATTGTTTTTTTTTTTTTTTTTTTTTAATTTGCGAAAAAAACAAGAGCTTGGAGAAATAGGGTTGATGCATGAACAATGTCGACAACAAACCTAGAACAATTTGTTTTTTAATCAGAGACTGTCGAAGATTGTTTAAGTGAGAGAGAGAGAGAGAGAGAGAGGGTATCTTCTCGCTGTTGTGAAATGCAGAAAAAGCGGTGGCTGTGGCAGGGTTTTCTGTCCTACAAAATAAAAAACGAAATAGTTTTTACAAGCGAGTTTATGTACAAATCTGTGCTAGCTAGCTGCTAATTAATATATATTGTTTGGTTTTAACAAATAAAAACAGAAACGAATAATTTTTTATGAACGAGTTTGTGTGATAGCTAGCATGTACATAATGGCTGGAGGGGTTGGATTATAGAGGAATTGTGTTAGTTGCAGAGAGATAAGCTTAGTAAGCGCCACTGTAGACGTTGATGCACATGTTTTGAGCAATTGTCAGTGGTCCACGGTAGCAGATCAACGGTCAGTGACGTGGGCCGTTGAATTTCCAACAGCTAGTTTTCTGAGTTATTGAATTTCCAACGGTAAAAAAATTTTGAAATTCAAACCCAATGGCTAATGACGTGGCACAATCTGAACCGTTCGATTTTCAGATCAACGGTCTAGATTTTTTGGCCAAATTTTTTTAAAAAAATATTAATGTCATAAATTATTGATATTTTTTTTATAAATAAAGAAAATGTCAAAAATTAAAAATAAAATGATAAATTTTTATTATTTTTATAATAAAAAATTAATAATATTTTAACAAAATAGACTAGGCTCGTTGGATTTAGGAGTGGAGATGCACTTGGCCAATTACTATTTATTGCAGTCAATTACTATTCATTTGGGTGGATTAAATTGACTTTGGGCCAGCTCATTTTTTAGGAGTGAAGTTACTCTAATAGTTATGTAACAAGACTAAACCAGGAAGCGACTATCTTGCATATTTGAGTCAAGCTAGTTACTCATCATTATCTTATTAATTAGTTTTAAAAAATGCTACTTTTACCATATTTGTATCATCTCTTTAATAGAAATAAAACCCACATGTATTGGTGGATCATACTTCTATCAAAAGATGGTATAAATATGGTAGGAAAAATGTCGTAAGTATAACATTACACATTTATGAGGTAATCAGATTTTGGGGCCTAAATTGGATTTTGGTTTAGATTATAACTTTATTACTTTTGTAAATCTATATTAGCACTTGATACTTAATTGGTACACCTTTTCTTTCAATCGGATTGAAAGCTTTGACAAGGCCACCTATTGTCACCCTATCTTTTATGTGTACATATATGTTATATATATTTGTTTCATCATCAATAAATACCGTAATTATTTCAAAAATAACATACCAATAAGCATTACGGTGTAGTGATATTTCTCTTAACTTGTACATAGCAAACCTTATGTTCGACTACATCTCCAACACTACGGTATAGTGATATTCTATTTTCTAAATTTAAATTAGGTCTTGGTGCGTTGTATTCTTTTTTTCTCGATCGGGTTGAAAGCTCTGAAATGATTTTAACGAGGCTAACTACTGTGTACCTATCCTTTGGATGTATATATATGTTTCATTATCAATGAATATGGTTATTTTTTTCAAAAAATACAATCTAAATTAGGTATGCCAATACAATCTAGTAATAGTTTTCCTCATTTGTACATGGGAGGTTTTATGTTCGACTCATATCTTCAAACACTATAGTTTAGTGTTATTCTCATAATTTGAAGGCCAAACCAATTTTATAATTATTGTAAGAGGGTTATTACTTAATAGAGGTGTAGTTAAAAATATATAATTAATTATTTATTTATCCTTAGTGAAAGTTGCATAGATGCAAAAAACTATATCGCTAGTGGAGCCTGCCAATTTCCAACAAAAAACATAAGAAACATAAGAGAGTCAACTAATCTCTAAAAGCATACTAAAAGTATTACGTAACTACAAGCTCAAAAACGTGTCAGTCAACTCTAAAAAATAAAGCATTGTCTTAAAACTACAACAATAAAAACATGTTAAATCTAATCAGTTTCATTCATCCCCCTCCTTCCCAGCTCTCCTTTCCTTTATGCTGTGCAGTATGCACCATCCTTGTTTACACCAATAACATTTTCAATCGAATTTTCCTCTCCATCACCAAAAATATAAAAATGTTCTATAATTTCTCTTTTTTCTATGGTAATATTTTTAGTTAGCTTATCCGTTGAAAATTTTCTGATTCCTCTACCTAGTAATTCATGAAACATGTTGAATCATGTGTTGAAATAATACTCTCCAAGTACGGTTTTCCATTAGCATCACTCTCAGAAAAACAAACTACATATTAGTCAATTCTTTGCATGGCAGTTTTTTTTTTTTAATTAACCTGCATGTGCTGGCATCAGCATAAATGGAGTGTGCTGAAGATCATTAGATTAATTGGGTGGTCAAGAGAGCTTAAAAAATACGGAAAACTGCACTTGTTGTCAATACAGAGCAAAATCCATCACCTGACTTTGATGAAGTAATTATATACAGCCTACAAACTGTTGCTACATAATGGTATTTTTGCGTGGGGCAATGCTAGGAAGAATAAATTTGTGGACAAAATTTTGTAAACGAAATGATATATGGAAGTTGATGATTCGATTATAACTTAAGCATTGATAAACCTACTTATTCCAATTGATGACAAATAATTTAGTTTGTAAATTTTATCTACAATTTTAGTCTTTCTAGCATTACCCTTCTACGTGCATCGATTTGTTCATGGGTTTGTGCTTCTTTGGCCAATAAACCATTAATATGAACTTCTCTAAAATATGTCCGTTACTTTAAGTCCAATTCCTTCCAATCTATATCAAATTCCCTTCAATGCTTCTTTACTTGTTTAAGTTGTGGTTATTTGACGAGGGGATGCAGTCACATACTCAACAATATATGTCAACCAATTTTGTAGCATAGGCTCTCCATTGGCAAAGATAGAGAAAGGGTTGTATAATTAGATTAAGATTTAGTTGGTAAGGTTTTAATTTGCTTGTGTAGGTGGGCATTTCACTTAAGTGCTTATGAAAATTAATGATAAATAAATGTTTCTGCTTAATTTCAAAGCATCTTCACTACTCAAGGAATTATTAGCTTTTGTTGAATGTATTTGGTTAAGCAAAAACCTAAAACGGAAAGCCAACTGTTTTGTCGGAGCCCCCATGTAGGGATGGGCAAATTGCTCATGGGTTTGGGTAACCGCGGTTATCCGCTCATTTAAAGTTCATGGTTACGGTTATGGGTATAACTATTTATCCATAAAATTTAAATAGGCCGTTATGAGTATTACCCGCGTTATAACGGGTATCCATCGGTTATGGGTATCACCCGCGGTTATAACGGACATCTATTTATCCATTTAATTTAATATATGTAAATTTTTTTAAAAAAAAATAAAAAGAATTAAAAACCGTAAATGAAAAGTTAGATTAGAATTAACGCCAATTTTTTGCTGCCATGAAGTTGGAATTGAAAGAACCTGAGATGATTTTTTGTTGGTTTTGATTATTTGGAGGAGAAAATGTCGATGGAAAAAAGTGCTTGTGGGATATTTGAAAAATGTGGAAGATTGTGAACCAATTGATATTCTGTACTTTTACTCCTTTAACTTTCCCATAAAGTTACAACTGACAAAGTTAATTCGCGTTATTTTGCAATTTTGAATCATCTAGTATTCAAGATAATGATTCATTTTTGTTTTTAGAAGCTTTACTTTGTAATCATATGGATTATAATTAAAAATTTGCTTGGGTGTAGCAGAAAAATATCGTTCGTAAACTATTATTTCAATTATTGGAATTGTGTGAGGACTTAAATGATTACAATAAGGAAATACATGCTAAAATGTACCTATAATGGTGTTTAATTGTCAGAAAACGAAAATTATGACAAATTTTTCTTTTGTAATTTTCAAGTTGTTAAAAAAAAACATGTAGACGGGTGAAAATAGGGTAAATGGATAAAAAAAGGATAAACGGGTTCAAAAGGGGTAAACGGTTATGATTAAATGGGTACATGGTTATGGGTATGGTTAACCGTTTATAAATGGTTATGGGTATGGGTATAACCGTTTATACAATTACCTAACGGGTGAATTGTTATGTGGATATGAATATAAACGATTATGGGTAAATAACCACGGGTACCTACCCGTCATAACCATTGCCTATCCCTACCCCTATGTCATGTGTTTTATATTTTTTAGCGAGCTTTGCATAAGATTAACTAAAAGCAGGGGAACTGAGTTGGTCCAGTCCCTCAAGTTATGTACGTTGCAGTTGGGCCACGGATCGGCTTGACCCAATCTGAATTTCTTTGACCAACTTCTCATTGGATTCAAAAAATAAACAATCACATGGCCCTCCTTCCCCCCTAGTAAGTGATAAGAAAGCTTTTTGAAATTGTTGCAGTTATTATCATTAGTAATATGATTGTATAAATTCTAGTGGACGTGATTTAGAAGATCATTTTTATAGGTTTTGTATTATTTGTAAGGCAAGTGAAGCCCATCAAGTTTAATATAAATAAAGATATAAGGCAAGGAAAAAGAAACTTTGTGGAAGTCAAAGCTCGACAATTCTCAGGCTCGTTAACCACCACCACTAGTCGATAACCCAAGAACACAGGAGGAGATCAATGGGTCCCAATCACTCCTCAGTACAGCCACCAAAGCTCGACGACACCACAAAATTTCAGTGAACTGTGACTTCTAAGGCGGTTTTCATGGTCCTCCTGCTATTTTCAAGCTTCGGCAAGGTATAAGTCTTACTCCACTTTCCAAGATCTACAACTTGGTATACTTTGAGTACATTTTGTTGTTGGTCCGAATCTGACGAGGTTATGGTTGCCGGCCACCACGTACATGGTGCGTAGCCAGTGATCTGATTCCTAGACTAAATTTCATGCCCCGATTCCATTTTTGTTGTCAACTTGACGAGATTCGACCATCAAAACATAGTTCAATAATTGACTGTCACTTGACCTTTGTTGTAGGTGTAGACCGACTGTTGGATCTCTAGCTATGAAATCATAATATGTAGTTGTGTAAGTAATGTGATGCCCTTATGATTTACGAATAAAAATCGAATTTACGAAATCTCCGGATTAATATAATTACGATTGTAGACCTTAGCAGGGGCCACTTTGACCATGTATTGAATTTTGGTTAACATGTTCCTATCATTCTTGGATATTGAAGTTACCATTATTAGAAGCCTGATAGAACCTAGTGGGCATACATTCGGCTTGCCATCCTTGGTGATGCTCACTTCAAGTTGCATGCAAGTGGAACTTTACCTTGATTTACGTCTTTGTTGGGTTTCTCAACAAATGTATTCAATAATTAGTAAGCTAAAGAATGTTTGTATACTTTGATATGTTATGTTTAAATGATTTATGAGCTACGGTTAACGTGCTTTCACATTTGCGCTTGCATTGGACGCAAGGTGAGTAGTTTGTTAATTGTCCCTACATAGATTATCAAATGATTATAATGATAAGAATGCTCTATTAAGGTATACATTACTATCTAGCTAGAGATAGAGTTGAGAGTAATGATAATGTGTAATTCTTGGTACGAGGAGATGAGTCGGTAACCATAGAATTATTTCTTAGAACTTGTACTTTTGTGTGACTAGATACTTGATTGTCATGTGGGATCGATAGTATGTGTATACCACTATGTAGATCATGCTTAGTTGATGTGATGTTGATAATGAGGCTACACCACATAGCAGTGTGGTAAATCGATGATCATGCTTGGTTAATTCGCATTGAGGGACTATATTATTATACATATGCCTATAGTTCTGCTTGGTTAATCCGTATTGAGGAACCATACGCAGTCTAGGGGTGATCATGCTTAGTATATCCGTGACGGGTGATCATTGTCTAGTATCACAAGAATTGGTCATGCTTGGTTAATCCGCATTTGCGGACCACACTATTATATGTATGTCCACGGTCGTGCTCGGTTAATCCATAACAAGGTGGACCATACGCATTTTACAGGTGATCATGCTTAATATATACGCAATGGGTGATGACTAACTAATTTTATAAGAATTAGTACCATTTTGGTACTGCTTAAAAAAAATTAAAAAAAAAAAACCGGGTAAAAAAAAAACTTCCAGCTTTTTTGCATTTGGTAAACATCCAAAATCAACTTTTTTCACAATTTTGAATGAAAAATTAAGTCAAAAAGCCAAAGCAGCAAAAACTAACTTTAAAAAACCAGCTTTTGGTGCTTCAACAACTTCTGCGCAAACCTAATTTCCCCAGAGGCGCTGAGCCCTTCAATGAAACTTTCAAGCACCCAAAATGACATTAAACAATTAAATAATTTACACATCATACCAACTGGAAGGACGTCCTTCCTCCATCTCTCGTCTGTTTTCTCCCACTCCCACGATAAAAAAACCGCACCAACAAAACACCACCATCTTTTCCGGGAGATCAGATTAGGATTTAGATTCAGTTTTTGCATTGTGGACTTGCCCAGATTGCACTTACTCATGTGCTCTTCTGTAAATCCGATTATGCCCCGAAATTCAAAGCTTCGCCCATCTGGATCCTCATAAAATTTTCTGCATTTTCATATTTCTGCAAATTAGGAAAGCCCAGGTGACTAATCTGATCCTTATCTTCTTCTTGCAGAACCAATCTTCCAGAATCCCCAATCCTTTAAATTGTAGGTTCGCTCCCTTCTCTCTCCCTCTCCCTGAAAAACACTTCAAACAGTGAGAAAGAGGAAAGGTTAGGTGGAGATAACGAGAACAAAACCCAGTGAAGAGGGGAAGATGTTAGACGGAGAAACGAGGGGAATGTTAGACAGAAAGAAAAAAGAGTGTGATCAATGATTCTAGAAGGATTATAAATAAATAAAAATTTATAAATAAAAGTTATAGAAAAAAAGGTTACAAAGACAAAATTATATTAGATTAAGTACATATCCCTTTTAGACATTTAATATAACCACAACAGTTTTATGTAAACTTTTACCAAACACTGAAGCACTGTTTTTTTTGTTGAAAATACTTTTTAAAAAAAAAGTTTACCAAACAACCAATTGTTTTATTTTACAGATGTTTTTTCTCATAGCATAGCAGAAACAGTTTTTTTTTAAAGCATTACAATACCAAATTAGCCCTTAGTCTTACTTGGTTAATTCACATTGGGAATAACACGCATTTTAGGAGTAATCACGCTTGGTATATCCGTGATGGGTGATCATTGCCTACCTAGGGTTGTAAAGAGCGATTATCCTTCGTAAATCTGTGATGGGTGACCGCTTCCTAGTGGGAATCCATTAAGCTAGTATGGAATTCTACTCTTACATGGTTCTATTAAGTTGGTCTGAACCCTATATCCGATGATTCTGACACACCTCGACCCGAGATGTTCCCCTTGGATCTTGAATCGAGCTGTGCTGGCCGACACCCAAAGGGTGACAAAGCTATAAAGTGTAGTGATGTAAAAAATAAGAGTAAATTTAAACCTAAAAGTGCCTAAATGCAAGAGTGCACATGTGAGTGGGAGTGAACCCAATTCACACGCGATGTCAGAGTATAAATACATTACAGTAAAGGTAGGATAAGAATTATACCGTCGAAAGTACACTCCTATACCAACATTTGCCAAGAATCCTTGTCAATATTTAAGCTCTGCTACTAAAACTTGGAGGCGCGAAAAATAAGGGTGAGTGGGCCTAAAAATAAAGAACCTTTTCAAAACGTAATAACCCATCGCCGTAAAACAAGTATAGTTTCCAAATATATCATAAATACGAAAAATCACAATATTTCACCTATAAAACATATGATAACCAGTACCATATCTCGCATAAATGAACATGTAATATCGGGTGCTCATCGACATATGTTGACACATGAGTTCATGCAGAGATATGCTGACATGAACAGGACTGGATATAATAATGATTTACGCTCTAGTACTACAATCATGTGAAGACTGGTGCTATGAGCGTCACATACGAGTCTTAATTGCCTATAGCAATCTAGGACAGGACTGGCACCTACAATGGATCCAAAGTGAGCATACGATGCGATGTGAACATACACATAAAGACTGACCCTGGCCCGTGTGAGTACTAACCAGTGTAGCACACGATGAGCATATATCATAAATATGATCATGCCACAATAATTCAACAATTCTAGTCAATATAATACTATTTCCGAGCCGTAAATATAATTAAGGCATTCCCTATAGTCCGCTTACCTGTGCATCCCATAGGGTTAATCATAATTTCCCAACAATACGACATTTCCTTATAATCGTCAATTTAATTATGGCAATCACGTAGAAAATTCATTAATAAATATATATGTGGAAACTAATAAATATATATACTATATAAAAGAAATTACCCACTCATATATACTTGCGATGTCGTAGCCATTCGAACGAGTAAATACGGATTGCCGATGTTAACCGTACCTAAGCATAATAGAGACCCATTAGTAAAACTCAATTAAAAATTTTGAATTTGGAGAAATGGACGGCAGATTCGGAATCAGCGCGTCGAAATACGTTAAGAATAATCTAGGGCAAATTTTCATAAAAAGTCAACCAAGCCGCCCCGGCGGTCAACTACGTTAAAAATTTGGAATTTCACTAAATGGATGCCAAAAATGGACTCGGGGTGTCGCAATTAGCATAAGAGGTTTCCGATAAAGTTTTGAAAAAGCCAACAAAAGTTAACTAACGGTCAACAGTTAACTTTAACGGAATAGATGGAATATTCTGTTAAAGTTAACTGAATACTCCCTCCAAATTTTGAAATGGATCTGGGTCAACGGGTCATGGGTTTGGATCCGGGTTAGGTTTTTTTTTTCGTCGCTGAAACTACAGAAATAGCTGGATTTTCTGGATAAACTTTAAACAACAATATCTCACTTGTTTCTCAACCAAAATTGTCCCATAATATATCAAAATGAAGCTAGGAAAGTGTAGAACAAGATTGTGGAGTTCAAAAAGTGGCCGGAGATGGCCGGAAAATGGTCTAAAAGGCGACTGATCCGTCAAAAACTAGGTAACTCGTCAGAAAACTGGACAAACTTTAAACGTCCATAACTTTATCAATACTTAACGAAATTGAGTGGTTCAAAAACCAAAATCATACCTCAGAAGGAGAAAAACAGATTGGTAGCCTTCTTGATGGCTAGATCGCCGTGGTTTGACCGTAAAATGACCTGAAAGCCGTGCAGGTCTCCAAAAAACTAGATAAAGTTTAAACGTTCATAACTTCTTCAATTTTTAACCAAAATGGATGATCTTTATATGAAAATGAAGCTAAAAATGAGGAGAACACATTGGTACTAATTTGGAACCAAGTGGTTATGATATGTGATTTCCGGAGAGCGAGAGAGTTAGAGCGGGAGAGATGTGAGGGAGAAAAATAGAGAGAAGAGAAAGAGAGTGAAAAGGGAGAGTTTCCATGAAAAAGGGAGACACGGAAGTGCGGGGAAGAGTGGGGTGTGGGCCCCACGCGGCTCACAAATTTAGACTAAATATTCCTCAAATATGAAATTATTAAGGAAAATTTTATTTGAATCCATATAACTTCTTTATACACCCAATTTAAACTTTAAATATGAATTGTCTTTCTTATCCTATTGCATAATTACCATCAAGTATAAGATGAAATGAACAATAAAACCAAAATTTATCAATAAACCCAAATATACCCAATAAGAATCAATCTACTTCTTGCTGCCATCTAGGAACGTGTCGCGCCTTCATTGCATACCGATGGCTGAAACTTGGCATTTTAATCTGGGATAACCTATTACGGTAGTGGAGTTGGGTGAAGATGGAAAAGCCAAGTTAACCTGCCTCGGACCCAATTTGAGAGAGGATCAGCAACCCAGTACACAGTGCCTCCAAGTGTGTGGTTAATTTGGTTCCTTTCCAACAAAGGACAACAACATTTCATCAGATGGGGCATTGCTCAAAGCTACTCCAAGGGATGCCGAGACTCTCACTACTCTCTTGTGAGATGTACTTATGCACCTGCGTTCCAGTTCTAGGACTTCGAGTTGGCAAAAACGCTCCGACCTTGTTTCTCTCTTTCCTAGTTACGAGACTCTCATTACGTTGCTTATCTTCCTTGAAAATGCATAAGCCTTTGGTGCAGCAATATTATGGTTGTACTGGCTCAATGTTACTTCTGAGTTTTTAGAGCATTTCCAAATAAGATGTCAAAATATCCAAATTAGCAATAACCGTAACAAAAGACAACATTAATGTTTTTCAACCAAGAAGCCAAATCTGATGTGGCATGATATGGAATGACATCTCTCCCCCTTGCTGCCAAATTTGACAGCACCTTCAAAAAATTTAATTAATTATTAAATGTTATTATTTTTTATTGGTTTAAAGCATTATCCTTTTATTTCTTTTCATTCCCAATGCAAAGAAAATACATATAAAATTTTATTTTATGTTTAAAATTTGGCATATCGGTTGGAGAGTAAAACTTTAAAAGATGTCAAAGTGCCACGTAAGCCTTCAAATTTAAATTTTAAATTTTAAATTTGACATCTCCTTTGGAGATGGTCTTAGATGTTTATGTTATTGTTTATGGATTCAAAGCAACCAAGGGTTCTTCAAACTTCAGATCACATGAAGGAAAAGCTGATCCAACGGACCATGTGAAACTTCTGGATTTTGTACTAAATATTGGAGGGATTTGATGATCCAATTTTGATCATTTGCAAAAAATGCATACTGATTGAACAAAAAATAAAATAAAAACATATGGGATTTCAATTTTTAAATTTTTTTTATTCATCTATATGGGATTAAGCAAAATCAACTGATAAAAGATTAGTTAAAACAGATGTGGGATTGAGCAAAATCAGCAAAAAGAAGGATTAAGCATGAGACAAATATGTGAGAGATATTGTTGTCTTTATGCCTTGAATGATTTTCAAAACACTGATTTTGATTTTTTTTCTTTTTCTAAATGAGTGTAAAGATAAATTTATATATTGAATTGTGATTGTGAGGGTAGTTTAGGTAGTAAGCTTAGGTTTAAAGACATATTAATAGTTCAATTAAAAATAATATGGGTGTAGATAATAAGTTGGGTGTGAAAAAAGGTTGTATGGGTTCAAATAAAATTTTCCAATTATTAATTTGACATCGGTATTCAGTGATTCGTAAAATCTTCGTTATAACTTCAAATTCGATTTTGTCTACACCCATGCGTTCACAACGTCGAGTACTACACAGATAAGCTAAAAGAATGGATCATATGTGTCGCTATACGACAGTCAATTAAAGTTAGCCCGCTCACTTCTAGGGCATTTTCGTCAATTCATTATTTTTAAATTAATAAAATCATAAAATTAGGACAGGTTGTTACAATTCCATTGAATTAGTTTGGAATCCTATTCCTAGTTGGTTCCGTTGAGTAGTTGTGATACCAATGATTCAGGCTTGTCGAATTTTAAAGAGTAGTTCTGGAAGGGATGATTAGTGATCTAGGAGAATTTGAGATGACATGTGCGACCGACTAGAAACACGATTGAGGATTTGTTATCATGGCTAGGAAGCCTGTGGTAGGAAATAGATGTATAACATAGCCTGTTTAGTAAACCCTAGTTTATATTGTAAGCCCATAGTTTGTCTACGTACTACTCACACGAACTTTGCAACTTATTTGAGTACCCAACCCCAAATCCCAAACTTTTTAGGTGAAATCGACTTGACACAGGCACATTCGTTGGACTCAGCTGAAACTATTTGATTAAAGGCGGAGTCATATTTCAAGGATTCCCTTACTAGTAACATTTGCCCGATGCAGCATTCCTATGGTGTAGTACCACTTTTGCAGGTTGACATGTATCATTAGATACGTGAGATTTCAAGGGTAGTTGTGTTGGGGTTGAGCATCTAGAGTGACTAGGTCCCTTGTCTTTATTTATCTTTTATTTCAATAGTACACATTGCGAGCCTAGGGCATTATTTATTAGGAACTTGGTTTATGTATTTAATTGAAATTCTGGGTCTAGTATGATTTTGATATACCATCGCGCCGTTACCATCTTGAACTCACGTGTTAATTCTGAACGTATATCTAGATGAAGGACACTCTTTTTGTTCTTATCATTAATAAAAATTCATTACGTTTTTTTGGTTTTTTTTCAGATCCATTTTCATTAGTCTTCTTTTAAAATAAACACTAAAAGTTCATACTAAATGATGAAAAAAATAGGGAAAAGCAAATCTACTATTAGTTGGTTTTCCCATCCATTCTCTAACATTACATTTTTTCTCCCGACTTTTCAAGTATGGACTATGGATACATCAAACGTGTGAAAGGAATTCTCATTCTCAAATTTCATTTCCCATACATCAAATTCCTCTTTTTATTTTATTTTATTTATTTATAACTTTTCTTTGCCAAGCCCTCTTAACTTCACTTGACCATGCATTATATTGTTTTGATGTAATCTGGAGCTGTCTCACGAGTGGTTCAAATTGTATGGCACGCGTTTAGAATATTAAAGGTCCACGTCATATGCGCATAAATTAAAAAAATTCAACCACTAGCTGCGTCGTGCAGTTGTAGGATGAGCGAAAAATAATCGAGCGCTAAACAATAAAGTTATATTTATTATATTTTTTATACTACATTTGTAATATCTTTTTGATAAAAATAAGACCACCAACACATAAGGTAAATAATAGTAATATTTTGGACAGTTTAGACGAAATAGAAATCGGGTCGACAATTTCATTCACTTTATAAAAATGTCAAACCCCTAAAACGAAAAGAACCGGAGACGGAACGCTGGGTCGCGAAGTGGGGATCACGATCCAGCACCTAGTTTGCTGGTCCAACACGTTTACTCCGTCGCAGTTCTCAACGAGGTGCCTTAATAAGGAGGGATTCCTTTGAAATTGTTGGGAGTTGCGTGGAAGGATGAGGAACGTTCCAAAAACTGGTCAAATTACTAGTCGTGGTCGTGGATGAGGAAAGCACAATGAATATTAAAGTGTTTTCCATCTTTTGAATTGCATTGCATGGTAGACCACCCAGGCTTTGACTCCATGTTTAGCAAAAGAAAAGCAAGGTCAAGTAATTAGTTTAACCTTCACTCGCCCACTAAATTGTCAACACCAAACAAACAAAGAGTACTTAAGCAATCTTCAACTAAGGGCTATATGCTACATTAAGGGGATAAGAGAGTGAGATAAGCATCATAATACGCTGTTAATAATGTTGTTCAAATTCGTCTTTGACAAGAATCAAATTCAAGACCTCTCACTTATAAGTGAAAATAAAAACAACTCAACTGTAGTACTGAGTGGCACCATAACAAGTTAAATTTGGCCCAAAAAAAGTTTTAAAAAATATATAAGAGGAATAAAATATAGCCCTGCATTATTAGATACAAAATTTTAGTCACAAAGTAACCTTTAAAACAGGGAAGTGCTATTGGCACTCCAAAAATCTCATTCTACACTCCTCACAAGTGTATTTTTCATTTTAAATATAGAAAGTTTGAAGTGTAGAATGAAAATTTTGAAGTACCAATAACAATTCCCTTAAAATATTAGTTTTTAGAGGGTAAAACATAGCCCAAAGTTATCTTTAGTCTTTCGTGACTGGAGATGGTCTTAGTTTTTTAATCATTAAAACGTGGCCCATTTATCAACGCTATGTCATATGGTTTACTAGAATAATTTAAAATTTTGATCTCCATAGCTTTTTTCATGCACAAAAGGTTTTAGGGGTCTGTGTATTAAGGGCCAAAATTCATTTTGGTTGATCTTTTATTGCATCCCCATATGACTAAAATATTGGCGGAAATCTTGACTCCGTCACTGCATATAACAATTCTTCTAAAATTGCCTATACTCTAAAATTAACTTTCACTATATGATAAAACACAAATAAGTGTTATAACGATATCCGTGCTTGGATGGCAGCTCAAGATCAGCCTGATGAAAATCTTATATTCACTGAGGAGGTTTTTTCCCATGGAAACGTTCTTTCTTTAATCACTCAAAGTGAACATAGATGACTTTTAATTATTAACTAGCATCTTACTACACACTTACGTGTGTGCCAATTAGAGCTTTTTATTTTTTTACCTTTCTGTTTGTTGTTTTAATTTACTTATTTTAGATATACTTTTTGTTGTTAAAATATATTTTGAAAAATAATGAAGTTACCAACTAGACTACATGAATTCTTTTTTAAAATTTTTATGAAAGAAGGGCAACATGAATATTATGAAAGCTTCACAATTTTGTTGCTCCCACTTAATATATATATATATATATATATATATATATATATATATAGACAATCTCTACATTACACATTCACATTTGACAACCATCCATACACAAAACAAAAATGAAGAAAGATATAACAAAGGAAAATATCGTATTTAATTAGTTGCAACTTGGAGCTTGCAAGCATATCGTATATGGTATGATGAGATCTTGAAAGGAAAAGCAGATCATACAACATGATTATTCTTTATTTGGTTGATTTGAGTAGATGATATAGTCAACGTACGCAACTCAGAATGCCTCGGCCATTGGTCAATAATTAAAGCCAAAAAGTCAGTGCGTTACAAGACGGAACCCTCTTTCTCCTCTTTTGCCTCACGTGGGACCCATCACCAACCCCCCTCAGACTTGTTTTGTCTTCGTGTCATCATGTCCCATGCAAAAATCTCCACCCTTGGATCCCATCCTTTGACTTCTACACCATCTTTTCGTTTCTTTTTTAACCCCCAACCCCCTCCCTTCCCTCAACCTCTCCCAATTCATAACTCCATCAATCCTCCCTCCCAAGTCTCTCTGTATTCTCAAAGCAAAAGCCAGCTCCGATGGCTATAGATCTAGTTGGCTTCTCCAAGATGGACGATCGGACTGCCGTGCAAGAAGCTGCCTCCGCCGGCCTGCAAAGCATGCAGCACCTCATACGCACCCTGTCCAATCAAACCCCGTCCCACACTCCACTCGATTGCCGGGAAATCACCGACTTCACCGTCACCAAGTTCAAGCACCTAATCTCCGTCTTGAACCGGACCGGTCACGCCCGGTTCCGCCGCGGACCGGCCAAACCAGCTTCAGATTCGGTCCATCCGAAACCTCAGACGACTTTGACTGCTTTTCAAACCCCAAAATCGGACAAGGACAACTCCACTACTGTGTCCCCGCCGGTGTCCACTACGTCGTCGTTTTTTTCCTCAAACACAATCGGAGACGGCAGCGTTTCCAACGGTAAACCCTTCTCATCGATTTCTGTGCCTACGCCTCCGGCTTTCTCCGCTGGAAAACCGCCCCTTCCACAGTCTCACCGGAAACGGTGTCACGAGGGCGAACCCGCTAAAACGTCGTCGTCGTCGGGCCACTGCCATTGTTCTAAAAGAAGGTATTTTTTCTTTTCTTTTCTTTTTTTTTGAACAAGAAAAGAAGGTATTGATTTTAGCATTTTTGTTTGAAGATTTTGTATTAAATTAATATTTATTTTAATTATTTGTAGGAAGTGTAAGGTTAAGAGGACGATTAGAGTGCCGGCGATTAGCTCGAAAACCGCCGATATACCTGCGGACGAGTTCGCCTGGAGAAAGTATGGTCAAAAGCCGATCAAGGGCTCACCTTACCCGAGGTATGATTATTCTTCTTTAAATCTCAACCGCACATCTTTTCAAAGTCAAACACAGATCTCAATGTTGTTTTTCTATGAAGCTCATAAATTAATTGGTTTGCAGAGGGTATTATAGGTGCAGTACAGTGAGAGGGTGTCCAGCAAGGAAACACGTGGAGAGAGCACAGGACGACCCCAAGATGCTCGTCGTTACCTACGAAGCTGAGCACCGTCACCCGCACCCTTGCCCTCCCCTCACAGCCGCTAATGTGGGCCCTGTTTTCCAGTCTTCCTGAATAGAGTGACGCGGGGTCCACAGTTTGATTCCCGATCGTCACCGTTGAAGTAACGCCGTGACAGTGGACAAGTACACAGCATGTGGACTTAGCGCTATTTCACAAGTCAAAAGAAAATGATGCTGAATTACAAAAATGACATACGGTGTAATGGAAACGGAGGGGTATATGATGTAAATTATGGAAGAAAAGAACGGCGAAAGAGAGATGGAAAATGGAATATATACTTTTGATGAGTTATTGAATTTATTCAAATTTTTTATTAATTTACTCTTTTTTTTTTTATATACGAAATTAGTTGTGTTGGTGGACGGAGCATTGGATTCTTTGGTTGAAATCTTGGTTGCGTGTGGAGATAGTCAAAAAGGGCGCGCATCAGAATAATCTTTTTTCTTTTTTTTCTTAGTTTTGATGTCGTTTTATGCTGAGAGTCAATTTAGACTATTTAGTTATCCGGGGTGGGGGCCATGCCAGCAAATGCGGATTGGTTGTGTTCGTTGACTTCTGAGATCCTAGTTGTGACTTGTCTGGCGTTTCATATGTCAATGACATGAATGATATGATATAGATGCGACTCTTTTAGGTTATCTCCAGTGGAGGCAGATTGTCTGCCTCATTTTCATCTTCTTTTATTTGTATGGTCACGAATATTTCTATTATTTTTTATCCTATCATCTCTATTAAAAAATTAATATAAAATGTTAACATGATTTAATCGTGACCGCAAAAAATAAAAAAAGATAATAAGGGTACCCAAATAGGAGGGCAGACAATCTGCCTCCCTCCCAGGTATCTAGTCCTTTGTTGTTTTAACTCGATTTTTATCAAAAAATATATAATTTAAGATAAGAGTTGGAGATGCTATGGATTAGGGATGGGCAAAGGGGTCCTGGACCCGCGAGTAGGGGCGGTAATGCCAATTCGAGGTGGGTATGGGGCGAGTACATATATTGTAAATTCAAAACGGGGCGGGGCGGGTACAAATTTCAGAGAAAACGGGCCTCCGGCCTGAACCTTTTCCACCGTTGATTATAGGGTGATTAAATCTCCACTGTTTATTTCTAACACAGCTACATGGGTTACATCAAATTGTCCAGATCCAGACTCTAGAGTCATCCCGAGTCCCCACTCCTTTCGAGTCCCCGACTCCTCTCGACCTCAATCTCGACCTCGAATTCTTTGTTTCAACAACCATTTCCAGCCTCCAAAACGTAGATCTCAACGCCTCTAGTTGTCGGGGGTCCATCGGTCTTTAGATTCCTGTCCTGTGTTCAGCCATGCCCGGGAAGTACGACTTTCCTCCGAGAAGGAGAAGAACCTCAAGCTCTTCCTCAAAGTCGGATTGGACGAGCACACGGCCAAAAACATCATCGCCAACACCACCAACCTCACCGTCGTCATTCACGAAGTACTCACTTTTGGGGTTGGTGGTGCGGTTGGGCTGAGTGTTTGGGGTGGTTGGTGGAGGCTTGGCTGGGGTTTATAGGGCTAGTGTGACTGTTCTGGGAATTTTGAGGGGATGGGACTGATAGTTATATTTGGGAGTTGCAGGTTAATTCATTAAAGCAAGGAAAAATTAGAGAAGAAATATGTAGGGCTATTTTAACTACTCAATCGTTGATTTTCTTCTTCTTTTTCTACTTAATTTTCGAGGTTTTCCGATTTAAATGCATGCGATTCATAATCCCGCGGATATATACTTTTAGATTTAGTCTACTTATTTTGTTGTTCTTGAATAATTCCAGGCCGTTGTTACTGATGGATCCAGTTTTTTGATTTGTCTTTGGCGACTCTTCGACTAGGAATCTGGGTGGGATATTGAAAATTAGAGAGAGAGAGAGAAAAAAAAAAAAGAAAGAAAAGAGGGTACCCGTTGGACCCGTAGGAACCGGCCCATTTTATACGAGCCGGGTTAGGTCCGGTTCTCAATTTCAAAATAGCCAAACCCACCCCGGCCCGGCCCGGCCCATGCCACCCCTACTATGGATCTTATCAGTTGTACCTTACTTGAATTTTTTTTTCTTTTAAAATAATATTTACAAACTCAATTTTACTTCCTACGCACATTTATTAATTTTTTTATTATTGATCTTCTTCAATTCTTTTGATCCGCCGACCAAAAATTATGTGAGGTGTGTCAGAAGTAAAAATAGACGTATGGATAGCAATACTGGTTTTTTTTTTTTTTACTCTTCTTTTGCCTTTAGTGTTGCACCTAGTGGTGCTCACATAATGTCCTCATTTTAAGGACTTCTGAGTACCAACTCTATATCAACCATGGAATTTTATTAAATGAGATCTAGAGGCTCAAATTCTTTCACAACTTAAAACACTCTATTTATCACTCTTAATTTGACCCATTTTGTGGAACCTGTTTGAGTTTTTATCACAAATAATCTCTGAAATTGACCCACACCATCAAGATGGTCCCTAAAATTGAAAATCAATGAATGTAATCCTTGAAAATAGGTGTCGCAAATCAATATGATCCTTCTGCCACAATTATGTACATTTTTTTGTTATGTGCTAATGTGGGTTTAATAATTTATTAAAAAAGCTATCTAAATACCTTTTTACACAATTAAAATTTTTTAATCGTATAGTAGGACCTACTCTGAGGAAAGATCATTTCCATAAATTCGCAAAGGCACAAGGCTTAACCAAGGCCTAAAAGGGGGTTTAGAAATTGTTTCCAACCAATAATAGACACACCTTAGTTATAACCTCATTATCTCAAGGCATACCTCACCGTTCTTTGAGTCACCAGACCAGTAGGGAAGCGTCCAACAAGCTCTCCAAGATTAAGGTTGTGAAGATGTTGATCGCCTAAATGTTAACGGTGATGTCCCAAAAGTCATTGCCAATCAGCCAAGCCGTCACCAAAGGTGATCTCGATCCAAGTTCAATTCGATGAAGGATGTCAAAGTGTGTAAAGATGAGTGTATTGAGAATTTTTTTTAGAGAATAGACAACGAATGAGGTAAAGGAATGTGGACTGGAATCGGAGGTGATTACAGAACTAGGTTTTTGGGTTCACAACTTTTTATTAACTATTAAATTATTAAACCTATTTGTAATTTTTTAAATTTAAAGTAGACTTTTGAGCTCAATTTATGTTTCATATCAGCATATAACAAATTTTTTGACAAAATTGTGACGGAAATACTACGTTGATTTGGGACACTTGCTTGCGGGACTACACTGATCACTTTTCAATTTCGAGAACTATTTTTTATGTCGCATGTCAATTTCAAGGATCATTTGAATGTCGCGGGTCATTTAAAGGACCATTTATGAGAAAAAAATGACTTATGGGACTCATTAATGTGTTATATCAACACTTAATGAAATTTTTAATATAATTATGATGGAATGACCATATTGATTTGCAACACTTATTTTCAGGGACTACATTGATTGATTTTTAATTTTAGAGACCATCTTAATGGTGAGGGTCAATTTCAGACCATCTGTGATAAAAACCCAACCTATTTTTCTTTTACCCTCGCAAATCTCTCCTACTGCCATCTTCGTCAATGTTTTTCCTCTTTTTGTAATAGAAGGTCGTGCGATGCCAATTTTATTCGTTCTTTTGTTTGATTCACAAAAATTTCTTCAGTCTCTGATTACTTTTTTTTTTTTTTTTAAATTTGTCCTAAATTGCAGAACACATGAATTTGTACGGCTTATTTGATTTTATTTTATTTTGATCAACTGGTTTTCTTGCAGTAACAGTGCATCTGTATTTTAAATCATGGCCTATTAAATCCATTTGGATAAATGAATTTCGGAAAGAATGTTCAAGGCTGTATGAGAAATAAAGTGCTTAAGATGATTTTGTTGGGAGTTGATTTATAGGCCATGAAGCTGTCAAGGAATTCTGACATGTTAGGACTCAGGAGGACTGTGTGAAAGAAAAGAACATGGGAGAGAAAGAAACGTGGGTTCTCAATATAAAATGGGTTGAAATTAAAAAGCAGTGTAAATAAGATATTTTAAAATGTAAAATAATTTGGACCACTATATCTTGCTGAATAAAATCCTATGACTTGGAGATAGAGTTGGTCGTCACAAGTCTTCAAAATGAGAACCTTAGGTGAGTATCACTTATGTTGCACCATAATTAGAATTATTTATTATCTAGTTCACTCTTTAAAGAAATCGTTCAAAGATTTTTTTTTATTTTTTTAATACATCGATATTTTTACACTAGAAGGAGGGGGAGTTCGGCTAAGCTATACAATGGGCAGTCTAATTTGGTATCGAATTCATCATCTACGAGATTCGAACCTAAAAAGGGGGAGTTCGGCTAAGCCATATAATGGATGGCCTAATTTGATAGCGAAGAGGAATACCACCAAACCGTAATACTGAGTAGCAGAAATCGCCCAAAGATTAACTCTATAGAAAATTAATCAAATTAGAAATCTTTCACCAGTCCAATAATTGTTGTCAATATTTCATCGTTTGACTGGATAACATGATGGTTGTTAAGTTTTATTGGATGAATGTAAGATGGATCAACATTTTTAAACTTGGTTCCATTTTAGCTATTCAAATCATCGCGTAGGATGAGAAGCAGGGTTGGGAATCTTAAAATGAGAAGGTTCTTAACGTGCATTCCCTTATTAATTATGATCTTACGACATTTATGACAAACTTGGTAAAAACCTCTCCAATGCACCAAAGTTTAGGACTCAGTTCTTATCTTTTAAGTCACAATGTTAATCAAAAACTTTTTTGATGCACCGTAGCCTTAAAACATATATTTAAGTTTTCGTGGAGTTCCATGTGAAAGAGGAGGAATTTAAAACAAACATTTGTTATATGGACACAACTAAGCTGAAAATAAGGGAACTTTAACGAAAAGCTCCCCGTACTATTCACTTTAACGAAAAACCACATTTTTACTCTAAAAAATCAATCTTGGTACTATTCACTTACAACACATTTTTGTCCTTTTCATTAATACTCAAAGTTTTCAAGCCATTTTCATTAGTTTTTCTTGAAAATAATCGTATAAGTGGTAGTATAAGTAACTTTTTTTCCCATTTAAATGGAGCATCTCGTACTACTGTGAGTTATGTTCATGACTTAAAAAGCAATCTGTTAAGTTTGTGTTAGCTACAAGAGAATGAAATTGTGATTACTATCCAAGGGTGCTTGTCGAGTTTATGATCCAGCGAAAAAGGTGCAATCTGCTGCGAGTCAAAAGCATCTAGATTTGCCTAATTTCCAAGGTGAATGATCCAACATGACTTTGGCT